CCAGTGACTCTTTTATTGTTTTGAATTTTCCTAATTTTTTTTGCTGTTAAAACTATTTTTAATGATTTATTAGATATGTCAAAAGGGTAAATTAGATAAAAATAGAGAAAGAGGTAGTAGGACAAAATCAAATCAAATTTGACTCATTTACATATGTACTAGTTACATTGGGTTTGCCTACTAGTAATCTAGTATCCCAAGCAAAGAGTATAAATCATAAGAAAATGCATTTTTGCTAATTGCCAATAAAATCTCATTTCCGATAGATTCGCAGCAATTTCGTTCTAATCATATTTATCATTAGTTACGGATATCTGACTTGTTAAGAAAAGAAACGTATTTTTAGGGGAAATTTTGCAATTCATGAATATTAAATAAGATAAAATTCCTTTGTTTTTTTCTTTTTGTAATCGTGGAATATGTATTCGCACGGCACAACGGTCTATTTTGGGTATAGATCGAACATAAACTTATAAGGAGATTGCAATAAAGAGAATTTGGGATTAACTTTTGGGTATCTCGTTTGGAGATTGCAACAAAGAGAATTTGGGATTAAAAAAAAAAAAAAAACTTATAAGGATATGGAATATGCGATTTACCACGTGTCCCTCGAATGTAAGTAAATATTATTTACATTTTATATTTTGTCAAATATGTAAGTAAATCTTATGAAATATTTTTCCTTATCTTAACCGATTCATACTGTTAAATTTAATTGTTAAAAATTCCATATATATCTTTATTTATTTTTTTTCTTTTCTTCTCTAGCTAGCAATTTTATTTGGGATCTCAACAAAAAAAGTCTTCTCTAGGGCTTCACCGAGTTCTATAGGATCTAAGAGATTGGAAATTGCTTTGGTTTAGGAATTTCTGTCATAGTTCTACGTAAGTTGGCTCCAATGATTTCATCAATACTATAAAGAGTAAAACAATTTCTAACCAAGTTTCAGTTTTTTTTTGTTTTTTAAGGGAGAAGGCATCGAAATGGGTGGAAGCAAGAAGAGGAAGCTTAACTGGTCGGAGCTTTGTCCAGACGTGTTGAGATGTGTTTCGGAACGATTGAGTTTCACAGATCTGAATCGAGCGAAATCTGTTTGTTCTTCGTGGCACTCTGCTTTGAGAGGCTGCCTCCCTAACCGAAATGAGATTCCATGGCTGATTCTCTTCCCTCGTAATGATGAAGCCAACAAAGACAATAGGTGCGTGTTGTTCGTTCCACAAGACAGAGACAAAGTTTACAAAACCAGAGATCTTGGTCTTGACTTTGTGCGGAGCTGTTGCCTTGCTACTTACGGTAGCTGGCTCCTGATGATGGACATTGATTATAATCTCAACATTCTCAATCCGTTAACCGGTGAGAGGATTGAGTTACCACTTACAGAGTCTTTAGTGCCTGAGAAGTTTAAAGAAAGGTTAAAATCCAGCCTAGCTTGTCTCTGGGTAGACGAGAGAAGCAAAGATTACCTGGTTGTGTGGACGATGAGGTGGTTTCTGGTGTTTACGAAGAAAGGGAATAACATGTGGAGACGGATGACCTCTAATTACGTGGGAGGGGCCGAATCGTATAAACAGATGGTCTACAATCACAAGACTCAAATGCTCTACGTGTATCGTAGTGGTTATGCTGTTAAGAGCTGGTGTTTCTGTGAAGATGAGCCACAAGAAGTGTTTGAAGCAAAGTATATATACGGTATTGGCTTTAATTACCGAGATTTCCTCCCTGATATAACGCTATACTCTTCCCGGTTAGATCGGTTACATTGGAGAAGAGAAGAGGAATTATATTGTCAAGAGTTCGTTGAGGGATGGGTAAACATTGCAATCACGGTATCGGGACAAGTCCTCAAGATAGCTAGTGTAGTGCAACGCTCCAAAAGATGGCTCTTTCGCATTTTCAAGACTGATGATTTGACCAGAGAGTGGGAACAAATGGATTCTTTGGGGGATGAGGCATTGATCTTAGACATGGGTATAACAGTTGTGGCCAAAGACATTCCGGGGATCAAGAGAAACTCAATCTATTTCAGTGGGGCCGGTTACGGCAGAAAGGATCCAGACCACATATTTGTCTTTGATCTCACCACCCAAAACATCCAACGTCTGCCACAATGTGTCCTCTCTCCCATTCACTTGTCTCTGATGCTCGATGGTTCTTCCCTGGTCTCACTCATTGATCTCTTTACTAAATTAGCTTCGGTTATCTTTGCTTTCATCTGTTTTCCCCCAAGTCTTAAAAATTCAAAAACTTGGGTCATGTTCTTTTTCTCTACCAATGCTGTGTCATTCTCCTCTTTTATTCACGATTTTGTGTGGCTATTTTAGGGCTGCATATATTCATGGTTGATCTCAAATGAAAGGAGTAAAAAGTGTCATAAACCCTAAACTGAAAAGTACAATGCCTTGAATCAAATACACGAGATCAATATTACTCACATCTTGGAAGAGAAACAAGTCACAAAAGTATTTAGCGACCGAATTGCGCAAGTTGATAAACACAAAG